AGAAGAGAAAGAAGAGAAGAGAAGAGAAGAGAAGAGAAGAGAAGAGAAGAGAAGAGAAGAGAAGAGAAGAGAAGAGAAGAGAAGAGAGAGAGGAGACCCATGTTATGGTCTTATTTGTGTATTGAGGCAGAGAAAGAGGATGGAGGAGAAACAGGTTTTTGTAAATACACATTTTTCTGCTTTTCTTCTCATGAATCCTATGGCTGCTGATGCTAGAAAGAATTTTCTGAAAGCAAGAATTCGTTGTATATCTCCTAGCAGGAGGCCAATGAGGCAGCTGGTACAACATCAGGGTTTCTTAGAGTGTTATTTCTACACAGCACTGTCTTTGAGGTATACGACATTTAGGTTACTACTTTCACAGGATACATACTGCATGGATAGTTGGAGTTTCTGAAAATGCTGATTTGTATTTCCTTAACAGAACCATTTGTATAAAAGCACTCTGCCTGTTCAGGTGGACGTAGTGTCCACTGCAAAGTGTTTTAATGATGGCTTTGTAGATCCTGAGATGAGAGGGAAAAAGAAGGTCACATCCTTTAGTTACGAGGAAGTGAAAAATTTCACATTCAAGAATTTTTGGGGGTCGAAAGCTTCTTGTTGGTCTAGCATGATCTTTATGCCTTATCCTTATAGTACTTTTATTTTTTTAATTAAAAGAATTATACTGTCACCTTTACTACTAATACATATATGTGAGATATTTGTCTTTTCTCAGGACCAAGCTATAACTTTTTCTGTAATTTAGCATTGCAAATTAGGGTTTCTCTCCTCTACATTAGGTTTAAATTGAGATAGAAGTAGATCACAACATTCAGGAAAGGAAAAACTTTTTAAAAGACTTTAATAAAGTTGCTGACATGAATATGAAGTCTAATTGGCTCTTTCTTTCCTCCTAGTGTCACTCTGTGCCACATTTCAAACACAGGTGTGCTAAAAAACTTTGTATAGAATGTGTTTTAAAACAATGTATGGCTGTTTTATGATAAATGAAATCACTAAAGCACTGTGATGTACTGTGGGGTTTTAAATCATGCTTCATTTGAGAGATTAGAAATAAAGACATTCAAGACCAAAATTTTTCTGTCAGTCACAATGTAACAAAACTTCATTCTACTTTCTATTCTGTGACAACTAATGGCAATGGTATTTTTTATTTTTCAAATGAACAAGTGCTGAAATGTCAAAAAAACAAGAAACGTGATGTTACACTAAACTACATATGACAGCAGTGTTTGTTACTTACTTAGGGGATGCTTCAAGAAAATGCAGCAATCTTCAAATGGGATACCTAAGTTTAAATGCAGCTGATATGATTCAGAATAATGATGAAATTATTACAAACTAGCAAGAGTGTGCATTAAAACTTTGAACTGTAACTTCTCTAATCTGGAGACACCTTTAGAAAGCAAAATGAAAAAAAATACTGGTTAGGAGTGCAATTACCCAGATTTCTCTTTCCCAGTGTTCAGTTGCAAATAGCCAAAAAGCCAGTATCAAAAGGAGGATACATTCTTGAAAATGGAACACGTAGTGAAAAAATGTCTTTTTTAATTCTTCACGTCAGTCTTTTCAGGAGGTTGCCTAACATTCAGTTTATTGATGCAATAATTAGAAAGGCTACTTCAGCGCACTATATTCCCTTTCATGTCTGTCCAAGGAGAGGAGTTAGCAGGATGTGAGAGTGGAGGACGTTGTTCTTGAGAGTATTTAAGTCAGATCAGTGAAGAGTATGTCAAAGATTCAAGCATTCAAAAGCTGATGGGAGAAAGAAAGTTTGTTTAGTGGTAACAGTTGAGACCTGCATTAGTCTTCTTTCTGTCTCTTCAGGAGAGTAGAAAAGAAAACTGACCTGAATTTTCAGTCAAGATAGTTCAGGAAATGGTTTCTTAAGGTTCAAGCTAACATAGTGAAATCTTTGAAGACTGCTTTTCTTCAAGAAATCCTTTAAAATATTTCTTTTTAGATGTGATAGTCTTTCCAGTGATTCTAGGAAGCCTTGTTTAGGAGCGTAACTAAAGAATTTTGCTATGTTGTTTTGTAAAAGAAAAAATCAGGCAGTAGTTGATTTCTTTTAAGTGCATGTGCTCCCATGATACTTTAAAATAAACTGAAAGACACTTTAAGGAAGACTCGTGCGTTTGATCTTTCCAGTTGTATAATACCTGGTTATATTTGAGGCCACTCCACAGAAGCTCGAATCCGTTGTCAATTCTTCAGTTACTGAACCATAAAAAAAAAAAAAAATCCAGCCCTTGCCCATATTCTGTTCATGGTGCTGAAGATAACTATACTGTTAATTCTTTTATGTCCTTTGTTCTTGACTTTAATGTTCCTTGATCTAAACCAAACTGTAATTGCCATCTGTTAGACCAGGCACTTAAATGATCTGAGTCCTCCTTCATATGGCTGTATTGTGTCTCATTATTTATTGCTCCTTTCAATATATGATCATTTTTAAACTCTTGTTTATATTAACACCCGTATGAGGACATTTTCTACATTAGGGCCCAAATCTAATTTAAGCTTTTCCACCCAGGCACTGCTTTTCAGCATAACAATATTTTGTGTTGCTGCAGTCTTTCTTTGAAGGCATGAGTGATCTGTATTCTGTTTCTCGAGGTACTCTTGGCATTGAACTTTTACATGCAGTTGTGTTGAATAGTTTGAAATCATGTCTAGTAATCCGGGGAAGTCATCCTCTGCTTCCCACCTCAGTAATGTCCCTTCAGGTTTCTAACAAGTTGTGTTGAAACAGGCATTTCATTATCACTTCTCTGATAACAGTTGGTCCCCTGAAAATTTTATTTCGGTCACTTCTTTCCACTGTAACTTGTAAAGCATCTGATTTGCCTATTGATTTAAAATATTATAGACATGTCATTCAGTATTACAGTAAGTTCACAAAATAAGTAGAGTTTTCTTCTTGCTGAATGACACAACATAAATACAAGGGGAAGTGTACAGTTTCATTGTCTCAGAAGACAATGTCTGTAAGTAAAAAGGAAAATATCTAATCAGTAGTTGGTAATTAAATTTGAAAATTATTATTATCGTGATGAAAAAACAGTGAAGGGAACAGTAGAAGGAGAAAATTACTGCAGGAATGGTTGAATTACATTTTGGGATTGATCCTATTCCCCACCTAAGTAGATTAAGAAACTTACTGACTTTGATTTCAATAGCATTCATTCCATAAGAGCACTCTTCATTTACTTTTCTTTTTTTGTTGTTCTGGTTATTGGATTTTTCTGATCTAAACCCCATTTTCTACATTAGTAAGGTGACAGCAATAGAATTCATATCACCAGAGTAACTTTACTGCAGAATTGACATTTGCAAATCTCAGGCGAGATTGTCAAAACATTTATTAACTTCAGCTCAACCTACATTTTTCATTTTTATAAACCAACTGTAGCTCCTTAGGAGTCCATAGCAGAATTAGTTTCAAAATGCTATGTATAGTTTTAAATTTTTATGTATATACACATATAGAGACATATTGAAAAAATGTGAAAGGAGGGAGAAGAAGGTATTGATTACTGTAATCTTTTTCGACATCAGTTGTATAGATCAGATCTTGTGTCTACAACATTGCTGCAAAAAAATGCTTAGTTTAATCACATTGCTAATGACTGTTGTGGTACTATCCTACACAATTCAACAGAAATTGAAATACTAACTGTTCTTATGAGAAAATAAAATTTGAGATCTCATAATATGAGATGATTACGATTGTAATTTTTATCCTCCTTAGAAGGCAGTCCAGTTTTACATGGGCTGTCTTGTATAGTTTCTTGAGTGATTTGTAGTGTAGCATATTGTAGAACACATTGCAGTAATCTAATTTGAAGTGACAAATGCACTGATGATGGTAAAAATCATGATGTCTAGTAAAGAGCTATCTCCAGGCTGGCATATGTGAAGGAAACGCATTCCTAAATGTTGATGCAATACAGTTGTCAAATAGTAGTTAGAAATCCAATAGTGCCCACAGGCATCAATTCGTAACAACAAATGCAGAGCACCCAGCAGCAGATGGAGATGGATATAATTTTTATTACGTCTTGAAATGACTTTCCTCTGTCTTTGTGATAGGTACTGCCTTACATTTACGTTCACTGAGCTTTCAGCTAAGTATCCCATCCTTCCATGTTATCTGAATGCTGAATATGCACTGCTGGTTTAAAGAAGACACAGATGAGAGGTATCAGCAGTGTAGTACTGGTCATCAGCACAGATCACTTACCCTCACTCGTCTTCCTACAAGTTCATGCCAAGTACCTGTGCCAAACAGGAAGAGACTTGGGATAAAACTATTGTCAACCAGCAACATTTTGGGTAAAAAGTCATTAGCCACTGTTTTGTTAGTGATCAAGAAGACAGACATGTAGAAGAAGTGCTGTCAGCTTGAGGGTTAAAGTTTCGAGCATGTCCATTTTGCCTATGGCTGACGAGCAAAGCACACTGTGAATATTGGTACAGCTTTGCAATCTTTCCCTTTTGGACTTTTAAATAACAACAGTCATCAAAGGAATATGAATTATTTGGTATGCTCAGGTTTTCTCAAAACCATCTTCTCTGAGGTTTCAACCAGGAACCAAGGTGTGGTTGAGTATGATGAAAGTAATCATACCAGATGACATTTATGAAGGCTGTCAGCACTGTCATGAAAGAGCATCCATCAAAAAAGCCACTGATCTGTTTCATCAGAGAGAGAATGATCTTTTCTGAGAAATAAAAATGTTTTCTGACATCTTGAAAACATCAAATAATATCTTAAGAACATAAGCCCATTAATGCCAAAAAAGTAAAACTCTAATAGTGATAACTGTAACTGTAGATTAAATGGGAAAAAAAATGTTCATACCTGTGGAATATATGCATTATGTTTTCTGAAGTTTATTTTCCAAACTTATTTCCACTTCATTATCATTACCAAAGATTACTTGACTTGCTTATCAGAAGCAAGTCTTCGTGCTTGAGTGAGCACCAAACGAATGAGGTAAGTTCAATAACAGGAGAAGCTGAGTATTGGGAAAATAGTCAGTGACATATTGTTAAATACTATCACCACCGTCACAAAATATGTTTAATAGGAAGTGGGAAAAATCACTTACGTTAATATTTGATTTGATCATACGAATAGCTGGTGACCAAGGAAATTTTAAAATTAATTTCATTTTTTATTTGTGAATCATTACTAATCACTATTAATTGATTGTTTTATTAGTCAGCAATTTAACTTTTTATTAGTGGAAAACAACTAGTGAGTGGGCAGGACTGTAAATAAGTCTTTGCAATTGAAAAGTGTTTTCAGGAAAGTAAATTAGGTCACTTTTTAATTTTCTTTTGAGAAAACAGGTTGTCATTTCCCTTTTTTTTTAGGAAAAAAAAAAGTGATTCTTAAATTAATGAACTTAATTTTACTGTAATATCTATCTGTGGGAGAGGAAATACTTCACCATAGTGATGTATACAATAAATTACAAGGAGCCTATTATCTCTGTAATTGTATCACATGTCTTAGCAGTTTGGATCTAATTAGATTGTTCTTAGTGAAAAACGTTATGAATTCTATTAAGAATCTATGGTTTCTGGTTTTGTGCATTCTGTTCAAAAAACATTAGGCTCCTTTTTCACTGCTAAAAAGAAAATAATGAAAGAACCACTTTTGCATATCTGTTTTCCTGTAAAATGGGAACACTAAATGTAACATTAAAAAAGAGCTAAGAAGAAATGAATTTGAATGAAGATGTGGTCATCTGAGATAGCCTTATCTTCCTGATGTGTTAGCAATTAGCTGGTGTTGGTACTCTGTCCTGCAGTGGGAAAGCTAGTATAAGCCTCGTGATTGCAGGTAGGAGTGATTGCAGGTAGGAGCTCTTATGCTTCCGTGTATGTGGGAAATATCCAGTCTCTTCCACTGAAGGCAAACGTCACTGCCTTAAAATACAGACAGCTAGAGGGGAAGAGAAAGGACAGAGTGGGACACGTGCTACGTTTTCAATGCATATGTAACTTCTCTGGTTCACCCTGCTACAAAAACAGTTTATTGCAAATAATTGGATTCTGTTCTCCACTTAAAATTAGGATTCGAAAACATTGTTTATAAGGAAAGTATAATGGATCCATCCCAAATTTATAGTGCGCATCTCAGCAACAATTTTCTTTTCTGAGACTTCACAAGTAAATAATTTTCTTACAATGGGGCTAAGAAGTGTTTGGGGATTTTTAAAGTGATCTTTTTAAAAATCAGTCTTTCTTAGAATAAATTCATAATGGAATAATGCACACTGTTCCAATTTTCAATATATCTGAAATTAGGTGAAATCTGTGCATAAGGTTAACTTTGGGCAAAAATGGAATGCCATTAATCCAATTAGCAATGACGCTTTACCTAATTATGATTGTATAATCTATTCTTCACTTGGGTTAGCAGATCAAGTAATCCTTGTTTTGTCAATGTTATTGTGATATCAAATGAAACTCTATTGCTATCCAGCCTAGCTCCTTAAGCTACAACACAACTGAGAAGTCTCTTGGGTTTTATGAGTTAATGATCTGAGATTTACCATAAGCACAAATTATACATAAATATGAAGATTTCTACTATGTACTTTTTTTCTCAATTCCCATGTCTTTTCCTAAAGTTCCGTGTCTCTGTATAAGTTTCAAATTCATGGCCAAGCCCAGCACTTACATTGACTGACTGGACTAGTCATTGGACTAGGGTATTTTGACCAGCCTCAAAGAGAGCAGTCCACAGTGGCCTGAGGTGCAGAAGTATGTTATCAGAGCCCCCAGGAAATGGCAACTTTCTGATGAAATATTAAAAAAAAAATAAAAAATCCCTTTTTTCTCTCCTTTACTTCAAATTTCTTTTACACCCTTTTCTGTAATTTTATTGCATTTTTTTTTAATTTAAAACATACTTAGATTTCCTTTAAACATTAGCTTTTAACTTCCTGTTAATATGTCTGCGATAAAGAAATATTATGAAAATACTAGAAGGATCCTTAAATTGTTAATAACTGCTCTCAACATGAATTCATTTTAATATAGTTTTTAATTTGAATAACAAAGGTCATAAGCACATAGAATATTTTATAGATGATGCTACGTAACAGCATTATGATTGTTAAGGGATGTCTACTCTTTATAGGTGTGTTTGGCTATACAGAAGTCATATACGTAGCTCTGACTGACAAATTGTCTCTAAACACTTGTGGTTAGAAATAGCCATATGCTATTAAGCCATATGCTATTATAAAGTTATGCTTTCTTAAAATAATTGCCAGTGTATTAGGGGAATACTTATGCTAATATTGTGGTGACTATAACTGCCAGGAATATATATAAACTTGAAGTTAAGTAGGACAGATTTTTCACTTCCATGTACCTTAAATGAGATTTCTGTGTACTATTGACAGAAAATGAGAGGTAGCTTTTCTTGCAGATTTGGATATATTAACTATGACTACCACATTCTATCTTCAGCTGCGTGGGAATAATTCAATAAATGGTGATGATACAGGTATTTGAGATAATATGCATTATCTGTGTTGCCTCTTCTGTAAGGGAAGTCGGCTGTAAGCAGGTTACTGATGCAATCTTTCTGAAGAATGGTCTCAGCTAACAAGCAGTTTCTGAGAAACTGGAACTATAGTTGAAGAAGTTGGCATTATTGTCAAGTTATAAATGTCTAGTTGATTTCCATGGGAAGTATTATCACATTAACAAACAGTAAAGACTAAAAGGGAAAAGGCGGTAAGTAATCAGCACGCAATACATAAGATTGCTGTCTGTAGGCTTTCTCCTTTAAATCTTTCCAGACATCTTAAGTCCAGTCCCAGTAGTATAACTGTATGAGGTGCAGTTCTTGGTGGGGAGCGGAGACGGATTTTTGACTGTGTCCCATGTTACACTGTCAATGTGTTTTTCCAGCTGGTCTTTCCTGACCCTGTCATTCCAGACTGTCTCAGTCCATGCCTCATGGCAGGGCGTTTTAGTTAAATCAGAAAAAATGTGTGAAGAATGTAAAATCCCTCATCCAGACAAGGAGCTTCCTTCCTGTACACCAGCCACAACTTTTCCTTTACACTGTCTCTGTGCCTGACCCTGCGGGCACGTATCTTTCAGCTTCCAGATGTTGGACAAGCCAGCTTGCTGAATGTCAAGGAACTGTCAGCATCTGTGTGTACCTTGCTTCTGTCCTATGCGCGTTGTGAGTCTGACATAACTGATTTCAGGCTTGCCAGTGGGAGTGTCCGGCACATCAGCAAGTCAGTACATTTTTTCTTGCTATGATCAAGTAGTCTTTAGCCATTTGAGCCACTCTATCAACAAGTTAGTTGCAGGTGAAATGGGAGCTAGATTTCTTTCCAGTTACTGGCCAGGTATACCCTAATCAATCTCCCATTACCTTCTAGACAGCGCAGAGACTGAGATGCTTTTCTAGAAATGGTGATTGACTTTATGGGCATGTATGTATAGTTACAAATAGATACATTACAAGGTGCAACAAACCTTTATCTATTAGTAGTATTTGTACTTCCACAGAAAGATCTTGAAGTGGTTCAGAGGATACATTTGACTGACATAAAGGCAACCTAGATCCATCCACATGTATGTTTCTACCTTCTTTAATACAGTGTACCACAGTAAAGCCTGAAACTCCCTCACCAGGAGGGGATATGTCAGGGCTGCATTGGCTAGAATCCAATATCCAAAAGGAACACCCTTCAGAGACGTAATGCCTAACGCAGCTCCTATTGCTAGTCACATTCCTATGGCATCCTCATGGCTAATCTAGGAGTCTTTGCTGGCTCAGAAATCCCAGGTGAGGCTCTAAGTTGCCTAGTACACGCCTTACTAACACGTTAGCCCTCTTACATGTACAGTGTTTTCTGCCAAAAATGAGACATTGCTGTCAGTGAACATCTCAATCCTTTCTTGAAAATGAAACTGCAGTAAACTTCCATCCCAGGCTTTCAACAACACTGTGTGGTACTCTCTATATAACTTGACAGGTGACAATTACAAAACTCTTCCTCTGTATTTGGGAGTGGGATTAAAGCAATACAGAAATAAGAATTCCTCTTCTTATTATTCCTCTTTTCCCTGCCTTTTCTTAAATTATTTTTTTCTTGGTGCAAGAATAGTATTGTGTTTGATATAGAGCTTTGGATTAAAGATATGAATATTAAAATAATAACCATCGTTCATCACCTGCTGAATTTCATCTCATTTGGCTAGTGATGCATACTCCCTGTGGAGGATCCGTCTGCTCTGCTTACCTTATCTCCGAACATTTGATTAGAAAGACTTGCACCATATCAGTTACAAACACATGGGTCCACATGACTCCGTGTAATCCAAAATAGCCTGACACTATGCAGTGAAAATTAAGACTGGAAAATAAGGTGGAGTATAGAGTCCTGGAGATAAGAATAATCATAACATGGAAAGATAACTTTATTCTGGGTTGCACCCAAAACTCATCAGTGTATGTAAGCACATTTCTGTGAACTTGGTGAAGAAATACTGAAGCACTTCTGAGTATGCCTCAGTTTATCAAAGTATTTTCATGCAGTTAAAATATTGAAGCGCAGTATCAGGCCACAAGTTTTGGAATGACTCAGAGATTTGCATTAGCAGATATGAGATTTACATAGATCTATTGAAAACATACTGCTATGTACTACATTTTACGGTTTTTATTGCTGTAAGGCACATCTGTCAGGTGAATTAGTATTCTCTGAAACTGCCACGTGATCTCCCTGGAGAATCTGTTCTTGTGATAAATACAACAAAGTTAGCAGCATGGCATGTTTTCATCTCTGCATCTCTGGAAGAACAACTGTGGTCAGTGGTGGTGCTCTACAGAAACAGCTGAACCATCTGGGGCAAAAGCCTGGCTGGCTCATCTGGGAAACACGGCTTTTGTGCAAGCCAGTTCAAGGCACCAGAATAGATTCTTACATATTTTTGTTGAAGTTCTGCATTTCCTATTTCAAGCCCAAGACACCTTTCTTTGACTTGGCCCTCAGTAGTAGAAGTATGTAAAACAGCAGAAAGAAAATTTAAAAGAAAAACAGAAAAACAACTTAAAATGTGAAAGAACCATATATGACGAATATTAGTGACAAAACCTGATGCACTTCTAGGAAGCTTTTTTGTAATATGCTAAAGGATAATCTATAGAAAAAAGAATTTTCTGGGTTTTATTTACTGTCAGACTTTCGTAGTAACACAGAGGAGGATTGACCTATTTCAGTTCTTGGCTATTTGAGATGGACACTGTGAGTAGTTAGTATTATCTGAGATAGGTTTTTTTTACACTTGTAGCTAGTCAACTTGCATTTGAAAGCTCTTCACACCTAAGTGATAGAATAGTATTCTTACAGGAAGAGAGTACACTGATGTTGACTGCATCTTCGTTGTTTTAATTCTGAAACCCCACGTCTTTCTCACATAATATTTTTTTCATTTTGGTTCTGTGGAATGTCCCTCTAAGGAAAAGTAGTGGTTGGCCTGTAACAGGAAAATCTTTGTGCCTTTTTCCTTTCTAAACTACCTTCCAACAAATCTTCCAACCAGAGGAGCGTGGAGTGTGTTTTTTCATGATACCTCATCTTAAATCTCTTCTAGTAACTACTGACAAATGACAACACTTCCAGTGACTTGCTGTTCAGTAGTTTAAAGCAGTCTAATGCATGCAGAGTCTGTTGTAGGCTGGATATTGCACACTTTTTGCACGTGCAATAGGCTGTGGGATGTATTGAGATTCAGCCAATGCTGCTATATTTCTTAACACCAAAGTGGGCTTGTCCTTCCCCCTTCCTTTTTTCTTTACCAACTAAACAGAAGCTTTTATATTTCCATTGTCTCCTATTATCTCTTACATTGATATCCATACGATAACCACAATCTGTGAGATCACATGGTACTGCTATTGTAAAATATTCAGGTCTCAATAAGCAGTAATTTTGGTTTACCCTAGGAACACAGCTTGGGTAGAAATGTGGAAAACTTGATAAACTGCAGTGTTTTCAGTACTAATCACTAAATGATGTAATCACACAAGAATTTGGTGCATCCCTGTTGTTACAGTACTGCAAAGCAGTGTTGCTCTCCAGCACACAGCAACAGTGCACAGTGAATTTTCCTCACACAGAAACCTTGACTCTTTAGTGCATCAGCCTTGTGTCCTTCTAATCAATTTCTGCTCAAAGCTAGTCCTTATTAGTTCCGTATATCACTGTTGGCATCAGTTGTTCAAGGAAGTCTCCTCCCACAGTGTATTTGTTATCAAAACTACAAAGGCAATCAGGGTTTCTTCCTTTCATAGTTGATAGTTTTTGGAACTGTGCTCTCACATGATGACTTTTCACATGCAATGCCCTTCTTCCCCACTGGCCCCTCAAAAAATATCTTTCAGAACATTTTTATCTTTTGTCAAAGGCCTCGATTTATTCAGCTCCACTGTCTGTCTTTTACCAAGTCTTGTCTTGTCTTTTTCCCCTCTCTTTCAGAGGATAAAGTATGGACAACTGTGTATCATGATCTGCAAATGCAGACTTCTGTGGGAGGCAACAGCCTGGAAAAGTCACCTGTACTGCAGCTCAACTACAGTGCAACGATGGACCAGATTTCTGCCATTACCAGCAGTGCTGAATACTGCGAGCAGTTTATCTCCTATTCTTGCAAGATGTCCCGGCTGCTGAATACACCAGGTAGGCTGAGAATGGGATATCGGTTAAATACAGTGTTAAAGAGCTTCATCTGAACGTTCAACAAGTAATTGCTTTTAGACCGGTCCATTCAGTGAACATACTTGTTTGTTCTCCTTCATTAAAGTTCACAAAGAGGTATATAATTGAAAATACAGAAGAAATTATTTTCTTAGGAAATTTTGCCTGTTTGGTTACTACTAAAATGAATTTTGTTGCACCACAAAACTGTGTGTTCTTCTCTCAGATCTGTTGCTCCTTAATGCAGGAGGATTTTGGTAAACAGGGTAACTTTTAAAGTTTAATCAATAGAGGCATTGAAAAATCGCTTTGAACTTTAATCTGTTTTTCTGGTTGTCAGTTTTCATATGCTACAGTCAGCAAGGGCACTGGCTGAATGAGGGTTGGAATTTGCCCGCTGATATCTCTGAAACAGTTTCTTAAACGGAGTCTTTGTGGGTAATCAGATGCCTTACACATTGTACAGACTGGCATGGTCAGTAATGTGGTTGTGTGAGAAACATGATATGCTGTTATCTACAAGTACATTTATTGTAAGTTTCTCATTTTGCTGTGTAGCTTTACTGGAAGAGAACAGTCCTTGTACTGCTGTATGTGCCTCCTCAGCAAGTCTTACCTGTAACTGATCAAGGCAAAAGGATTTCTTGTTCCAGAATTAGTAAAACAGCACATAAAGAAGGAACTCAGTTTTAGAAACTCTTTTAATATGCACATAGTAATTTATCTATGCTCTAATTGTGTATGATAGCATTTAATGTTAAATAAATCTTTAATGCTACTTAACGAAGACTGGGTTATAAGTGGAAACATATAACACATTTTTTTGATTGTGAAATGAGTTCATTGTCATAGGAGCAATTAACTTGCATTTCAGGTGAAACTAATGGCTGGATGCTTACAGTGTTATACTTTAAGCTGCTTCCTCTCATTCATTTATTTTGGTATATTTTCTCGTGGTGGGATAGATAAGTATTCATTTGGCATGCACGTGCATCTTATCCCTATTTCCATAAGCATTCCGTTACTTAATACATACTGTAATGCTGGATACTCCTCTCCCTCCTCCCTGCTGTTCTTGAACTATTTCTAATGCGTGGTTTGTTTCTGTTGCTATTATTTTGCTTAATCTAGCGTAGCACAGAGACTCTGCAAAGAGGAAAATAATTTCTTCTTTCTTGGGGCTTAACGTATATGATCCTGAATCATGTTCATAACTAGAAGTATTGTGACTCTCCTGATGGATAGACGCTCTCTGTTTGCAAATGCTTCAGAAAAGTAGCGCCTGGATGTCTCTTTGGGCAGGTGCTTAGAATTTACTTGTGGACATGAGTTGGAGATAATGTGCACAGAAAGCTCATAGTTTGCATAGAGTGCAGTGTACAGAGTCTCTTTAAATGTTTAAGACTTATTTCAGGACTAAATTGTACTTGCTAGTATATGTTTATGTTATAATAAAACAAATACATACTGTAAATGCAGATGTTTACCTTAGCTTCTAGTTTTAACAGAAAAATTAAGCAGCACACAAAATAATAACTTAAAATTTCTTTAAGGAATAGTTAATTCCAGTCATTTCCATTTTTAAGCTTCTCAGAAATGTTTGGGTATATTTTGCAGATACCTCTTTCTTCATGCTTTCACCTTGATATGGAAAGATAAATTCTCTTAGAAACTATTTATAAGCCAGATTTTTGGTCTGGAAAGTGAGTTTCCAGAGATATTCTATGAGGTGGCTGGTTTTTTTTTCCTGTAAGTGGGAGAAAGAAACAACAAAGGCAGATCCTTTTAACCTGGACAGTAACAAAAAATCACACTGCAGTGTTTGCATAACACCTGTAATGGTGTTGTGGTTTGTACGCATTGTACAGCAGTGATTTGTGTGTTGGTGAGGAAGAAGGCAATACATTTTCTTTCTAAGCTGTGTGTTCTTGGCTTCAGTCTATGGCTTCTAAGCTAAGGAACTAATTTTTCATACCTTTCTCTATTTCTTTTTTTCTTTTTTTTTTTTTTTTTGAGTACTGCCTTATTTGCTAAATACATTATGACACCCTATTCATCTCACAGCACAGGTCCAGGTACTCATGTGGCTTCTTCCACCACAGAGCTTTTTATATAAATTACTGCAGTATGTTGCACACACAAAGAAATGAAAAAAAAAAAAAAAAAAGTCATCATTTTTGTATTCCTCAGGAAGTTGAATCCTGGTTGTACTGAAGCCAGTGCTAAAACCTCTATAGACTTCATGGGATCGAGATAGTATTTATGGCTTTGAACACAGGTGCTCTTCTAAGTCAGAACTTTTCCTTTTCACTGTTCAGACATTTAAGTAAACACTTAGAATAGGCTACTCCTATTGGTTTAGATTACATCAATGAGAACAGAGAAAACTGAGAAGACAGTGCAGCAACTCAACTTTTTCACCTTCTTGCCTCTTGGGGATCACATCACTTTTCTACATGATTCCTTCTCAGTGAGAAATTGCTCAGTTAACATATTTAAACAAATCACAGTCAAAGCTGTTTATTGATCTACTAATAGCAAGTAATTAACTAGCCATCAGAGAACTATAGCTCTTGCTGCTTTTAGTTATGCATCTTCTGAAAAGGCAGTCCAAGTATATACAATTGCACTAACATATGTTCTGCTGCTAATAATAGCTTAAATATATTTTTTTTTAATGCAGTGGAAACTGCATCAAAATGCTGTATTTGAGGAAAGCCTTCATATTAATAAACATGGTTGTTGTCAGGGTTTTTTGGCTGCAGGCACAGTGGTGAAAGAATTCTCTTCTTGAGAGTGACAGATGAAAAGCAGTCTGTACAAACTAAGAATTCTCATTCTTCTGTTACTAGTTTTAGACTTTGGTTCTTTACTTCTCCAGGCCCATTTCTTTTTTTCTCAATCATGGGTTTTCATCCAAGCAAAATAACACGTACAACCTAGAGAACAGGTTCAAATCATTCCCAACAATAGGGACTGGAAGTGATTTTACGGGTCACAATGCCATTGCCTTTCCACTTAGTCTGAGGGAAGCCAGTAATAAGATGTTCCATGTAAATTAAATTATAAGTGACTTATGAAAACATTCCCGAAAACAACAATCTGATGAGACTATAGGATAATTCACGTTGGAAAGAACTGCGGCAGGTCATCTGGTCCAATTTTCTGCTCAAAGCTGGATCAACAGTCCTTGTCTAATAGTAAGTAAAGACTATCTGGAAAGGCAATTTTCCTTCCTTACTGCTTTGGGTTTGGTTTTTGTTTTTTTTTTTATTTTGAACTTGCAGCTCAGTATGTGCTAAATTATACTCAGACCTAGGGGTCTGTTTCAAAGCCTTAACAAAAGATCATCAGAAAAAAAGAAATTAGTCAAGATAGCTCGGTGACTTTCTCCAGAAAGCGAAAAACCAGACACCTCTGCTGAAAATACACCATATTATCTCCATAAACAATAAAACCATAGGTACACTGTAAATTTCTGGGGAAGACATTTTCAAGCAGAGAGCCTGCAGTGGATTAAGTTGTCTCACAGTCTTTATGTCAATTAACTGTATACTGAGGAGATAGATCTCTTTTCATTTACTGACTGTAATACAGATTTCCTTTATGAATTTGACAATTTATTTGATTATTTTTTTTTAGTTCTGTCAACATGATAATGACACTTCTTATTTTCTATACCTTCTATTTAGATAATAATTTTTTAGAACAGGGATTCTTTTGTGAATACACAGTTATTAGCACCATAGAGGCTTGATCTTGGCAATCCAAGTAACTAGTACTGTTAATATATGAATGAAATTATAAGCCCATGGACCATAATTGCAACTTAATGACAGTGTATGTCTATGTAAATTTGCAAAAAAAAAAAAGAAAAAAACACAACACCAGACTTTTTTGTTTTGTTTTTCTGTTTTAAATTTACATTTCTCATATCGTCTTTTCTTCTTGTTTCCTTGGAAACTTCCATTTTGAGAAGATAATGATATGTTCAGTACTGAGGACATGCAGAAAGCTAGCTATTTTCTGAGTTCTCGATACCCATATACTTTCCAGTTGTTATTGGAGGTGACAGGACATTTCCCTCATTTGCAAACGGGAACTGCAAACGAGATAGAAGAAAGTTCTTTTGTGCCCACTGGTTAACAAGAGGGAAAGCAACAAAGCAAGATACAGAATCACTTCGCTTTTATAGGAAGAAGCTTCCCTTCTTTGCTGTAAGAAGCAAGGTGGTATACGGGACATATACAATATCCTACTAGAAAGCAAAATGCTAGTTAATAAAATTATATATCTTCATCCACTGTTGCCAATAGACTTCCTAATAACACCTGGTTGTGACTTCCTCGGTATGAAATTGTCCGTGGGCCACTCATCTCAGCCTCTGAAACGGGGAGGAAACAGCACGCTGGTTCTGCCATTCTTCCCTTCACCCTGGGAATGAGAGTCTAAAGGGGAGGAGGGCTGCTGTGTTCACAGTATCTGTGAGTCTGTCATTTCCCAGAGCTGTAGGAGCTGTAACAAATAATCAGAGTGTGGGGGCTAAAAGCATAGATACAGAGAACAGAACAAGATCTGCTGGTGTTGTGCTCCAATTTTTATTCCCATTCACTGTGCCTGCAGGCAGCATATGAAAAGCATAAAGCAGAGTTGCTGCAGTACATGAATTACTGTTCCGTGCCTGTTGTCTTTAGGGGAAATGAGAGAGCAGCTTCATGAATTCAGGAGTTTAACAGGTGAAATAGAAAACTTAATTTGCTGTTTAGTTGTTTTATTCCAATAAAACAATTGTAATACCAGTAGTAAATAGAATTTATGAGTAGACTGAGATAAAAACAAAGTTAAAAATTGCAATATGATATTTTTCCTAAGTAGCCATCCAAATCAGAATTTAATATATAAAATTTCACATCTCTAAATGTTAAGTGATCTAGAATGCTCATTGCAGATTTAATTCCTGCTTAAAAAGAGTTTTTCAAAAA